CAAACGAGCAAGCTGTGACGTCATTAGTTTGGTATATCAAGAAGTGACGTCGATGTGTATTGCCAAGGGTTTATGAACACGCTGTTACGAGTACTTTGTGATGTCATCAGCGCTGAGAATCTTCACATGGCGTAATTGACTTAATGGAGATTGGACTGAGAAGCAACACATGGCGTTATCGATTATAACATAACTGCCTGATAAAATAGAAATAAAGGTACATAGCTTCATCCGCCTTTATTTGTAGGATCTTATATGTAATGGATTTGAACTTCTACAATTCTGATAGAGATGCACATATTCAAAGACGCTTCGGATACGCTACCACGGCTCTGATTGGCTGTGGCACGAGAAAGCTCGACAGTGATTGGTTGACGGGCATATAAGGTGTCCGAAGTGTGTCCGATGACGTCATTGATCTAATCAGACTTCCACTGTCCATTTGCTTTGAAAAAAAATGAGAATTATTAGAAGTGAATAAGTTAACAAATGAATAGATAATTGAATAAAGAGATAGATTAAATAAATAAAGTTCTCGAAACTAACAAAAAAGGGAAACGAACTGCACTTAAAAAAACATGCGCATCGAAATCCGCCTGCAAGTGACAATAATAAGAGGAGAAAATATAAGAACAATGATACCCTTTTGACTTTTATCTATATTCCATTTTATTCCATACGTGATGAAAATATCAAGTTGTTTTCTCTGAAGTTTCTATTATTTTGGGAAATGGCTTTTTCGCGTGTGGTTTCTGTCTCATCTTTTTTTTTTTCAATAAGACAATCACAATGCGTGATCTAGCTGTACATGACTGAGTTATTCGCTAACAAGTGACTAACGGAACCTGAACCACCGGCACAAAGAGAGAAAATCTATATGGTTACATGTATCGCGTCCGATTTAACAGTATACTCTCTCTCTCTCTCTCTCTCTCTCTCTCTCTCTCTCTCTCTCTCTATATATATATATATATATATATATATATATATATATATATATATATATATATATATATATATGTATGTATATATATATATATATACATATATATATATATATATATATATATATATATATATATATATATATATATATATATATATATGTATATATATATATGTATATATATATATGTATATATATATGTATATATATATATATATATATATATATATATATATATATATATATATATATGTATATATATATGTATATATATATATATATATATATATATATATATATATATATATATATGCGTGTGTGTGTGTGTGTGTGTGTGTGTGTGTGTGTGTGTGTGTGTGTGTATGTGTGTGTGTGTGTGTGTGTGTGTGTGTGTGTGTGTGTGTGTGGTATATATAGGTAGAGTGAGAGAGAGAGAGAGAGAGAGAGAGAGAGAGAGAGAGAGAGAGAGAGAGAGAAAGAGAGGCAGAAAGACAGAATGAAACTAGAGAAAAACAAAAATATAGCACAGAAGAAAACAATGGATAGTAAACAAGAATAAATAACCATGAATAACCAACAAGAATGATGATAAGTATTGCACATGAATAAATGAT